AGTTTTTTTTGTAATAGACAGTATAAATAATATATTGAGTATTTCTTGTTACATAGTTGATGTCATATATGTCATAATCAGCTTGAATGAAAAACTGATTTCTGTAGAACCCCGTGAAAGTAGAAAGTAACCAGGAAAACAAATATTGTATTGAAACGAAATGAAAAATCACAAAATGCATTTATATCCAAGATTACTTAAAAACGGAACGTAATCTTCCTTAGTCATGAATAATGATGTGGGAAAAGCTGCATAATATAAGAAAATTAGTATGTTAGCAAGAAAATAACATATGTTGGCTGCGACTGATGGCAATATTCTTACAACAGATAAAAATGACTCTTCCTTTTTTTTTTTTTTTATTGAGGCAGCCTATTACGGGGTCTTGAGGCTATTTCAAGTGGGATTCATTGGAGATTTGAAAATTGAGAGGGAATATAACCTTTCATTGTTCCCTGGTCACCATCCTTCAAACTAATTACTCCCTGACTTTCATGGGGCAGATTTTTTCACCATGCTTTTCCTTTCAGTTATAATCTTCTGTTAAGAAGAATGGTTGTGATCCGAGGCTACCCTTGTTGTGGTCTGTTTGAATCTAATTGTCACGCTCTGTTGGCTATAAATGGGTTATTAATGTTAGGTCTAAAGTGTTGACAAAGTTCTGTGTCTAAAATATTGTTTAGTCGAGTTATAATTGGGGTTAAGTAGTCGGGTGTTGGAAGAACCTTTAGAAGGGATCAAAGTCTGCTCAAGAAGGTCAGACAGTGTTCAAAAATGCTTGACGAGTGCCAAGTGAACGCTACAGCAATTTTTGCAGAGACTGACTGCTCGATATTTGGTAGAGCGCCCTATTTACAGAGTGAAATCCTAGTTCGCAATTTTCAGCCTTTTACAATCCCAAACAACCTCTAACTCCGTAATAATATAAATACCCATTGAAAATCCATCATTATTGTGTGTTGAACGAATATTCATCAAAGAGAACATCATATTGAAGAACATACATTGATTACAATAATTATCTTGCCTCAACCACAAAATCAAAATAATGCAAAATCCTCTACCATATATCCTTCAGAGTTTTAAAAATCCTGAGAGGTGGCTGGAGTTCCGATTAGTGAAGAACGAGTTCTTTCTTTGTGATCCACCAAGGAAAAAGAAGTCCAGAAGTTTTGGAGCGCACAATCGAGGAGTTCTTCAGTGATTACAGGTTGGGGTCAGAGTCCACTAAAATTTAGTTATGTCTGGACCAATTTTGTAATTTCAACTTTTTTAGAGAATTATATACTAACACTTGTGCTCTAAGGTTTTTTCTCTTGAAAAGTTTTTCAATGATTTTTCCTTCGTAAACAATTGTCGGTGTAATTTACTTTATGCTTTTATATTTATGCTTAAATGATTGCTAGTAATGTGTTTTCAATTCATCTACATTTAATAATCTGTGAATTGTTACAAGTTATTAATAGTTAATTTTAAATTCCGTATATTACACTTATTCAACCCTTCCTCTAGCTATCAGTTGAGCCGAACCTCATTTATTACAAGTGGTATCATAACCTAAATTCGATTCTTAAACCATTATAGTCTAAATAATTCAGTCGTTATCTATGTCTCCATATTTTGATGGAAGAAATTATGCTTATTGAAAAGTTAGAATGAGAGTTTTTTTCTAAAATCTATGGATGAGAGAGTTTGGATGAACGTGGATAAGGGTTGGACATATCCTTCTACAAATCTTGGTGGTATTGTTACATCTACAGAGACTTCCACTTGGATTAATGATGAATTAACTGTGTCATCTTTATGGCTATATCATTTGAAGAGTTTATACATGTGTTTATGAGTGAGACCGCTAAGTATGCGACATTCTAGAAACCACACATGAGGGAACTACAATCGTTAAAAACTCTAAGCTACAAATGTTGACCATTATGTTTGAGGAAATTGGAATGAAAACTGATGAATCATTTGATGAGTTCTATACAAACCAGAATAACATAGAAAAGTTCTAAAATCTCTACCTAAAAGGTTTATACATTAGGTCGCGACGATTGAACCGACCTCTAATCCGATTTGGTACTCATACATTAATCGAAAATTAAAAATTGGGGTATAAACCATTAACCTGACCAATTTAGCCGTGAACCGAGAAATCGAATGCAATTTTTTCGATTAATATAAAAAAATTCACAAGATCTAACTATTGAAAAAACAGAACGCATTTTTTCCGATTAATATAATTTTTTTTTCCCCACAAAGACTTTCTTGATGGGCAACATATTACAATAGAAGGCCTAAATTACCTTTTTATACAAGTAGTGCTTATTTAACTCCTTTTTAAATGAGACTCTTCTTCCAGTGTTTTAGTAATCTTTCAATGGGATTCTAGCTCCTTTTTAAAAGAGACTCTTCTTCCAATGTTGTATTAATCTTCCAATATGGGATACTACCCAATTCTAAGTGCTTACTAGTTTACTTCATTATTTTCATTAACAAATTATAATCTCCAACAAAATTATAATCACAAACAATTTCAATTTGAACAAAGCAAATTATTTTGGCCATATTAATTGTTAGTTTTTGACATCATAAAATAAATTACTACAATAAATCTAATTAACAAACATGGATTATATTTACTTTGAACTAGTAAATTAAAATTAAAAAATCTATTATAGTTATAATATTTTATAGTTTATTTGTTTATTTATTCATTGAATTTGTCATCTGATTTGATACCGGTTTGACCCATGTTCGAACCTTTAATCCTCAACCCTCTTCCTTTTTCAAGTCGATATCTCTGATCAATTTTTAAAACATTGTCAACAACTTTTTAATCGTACATTTCATCAACTTTTATCGAAATCTACTAAAAATCTAATTTTAATCCCTACAAAAAAGAGGTTTAGTGAGTTAAGGGTATCGTCCTACAGGAGATAAGCTTTAAATTAAATTATATTAATTTGTAATCAAATTCTAATGTTGTGACACAAAAGAGATTAATTTTATTTATTTTAATATATTCTTCTGATTATCTAAATACGTTGTTTTATATGAATGAATGGATAAATGTATTGAATATATAAATCTACCTATCTTATCATATTTCTTATTCTCAACTTGTGTATTTAGTGGTAATTATGCGTTCCTTCCAATTATATCTAAATATCTCTCTTGAGGTAAGTTAAATATATTTTAAGCATAACCTCTTCATATTCCTAATCCAAATTCATATGCAAAGTAACATCTTCACTTATAATATTATTAAAATAATTGTGCGCCATACATATTATTTCTAACATCTATTCCCCGAATATTAATTTTACAAATTTTTAACTTATTATGAACCCTTCGAAACTATAACAGGTAACCAATTACATAATTGGTAGCAAATCAGTTAAATAATGTAACAAAGCATGCGAGATTAATCAAGATAATCAAAAACATACTAACTACTACGAAAATATTACATCTTCATTAAATACAATAAAAGGTTTAGCCTAGTACGATTTCTATAATATTACAAGAAGAATAATGAAAAGATGTGACCTGGAATATATATGAAACAATAAGTCATGAACTTCAATTTCGAGCTTTAAATTTTTAAGTTCTTGGTGTAATCAGCATTTCCCTCCTTGATAGGTTTGATCTTATATCCAAAATATGATGAATTTGCCTCTTGTTCTTGATGGATTTTGTGATATGATGTGGTATAAGAGGTTAGAAAGAGATCACTCAATGTTTAGCCCCGTCTTGTACTTATTTAAGGAGAAAATAGGTGAATAAACGTGTCCAAATTGAGTTCCAAAAGAGATTGCATCACAAAAGGAAAGTTGGTATGTCTGGCTAGAATAACCTCATATCCACGTATGGTATATTTGCTTGCCCACGCATCAACAAGTGAGGTCAGTCTCGGGATTAAAAAGGGTACCCTGAGCATGTAAGGGTGTGCGCGTGGAGGAATTTTTTTATTTTTTTTTTACTTCATTTGTCTTTTATTCTCGTCCAATTGATTTCATATGATTTTAAATCCTCGTTTTGTAGTCCCAGTCAACTATTGAATATTTACACTTTGATCCTCAACTTTGAAAACCATCCATTTTCGTCGATTGTCTTTCATTTCTTTTAATTGCATGCACTTCAATTCATTGAATTTCACCTAACAAACAATAAATACACAAAATTAAAATATAATTTATCAAAAGTACTCTCAAATATTACTATTTAACGGTATAAATAAGTATATAATTACACTTATCAATGGACTTAGACGGTATGAGGTCTTCCGCAACTAAAAGTTCATCGAGGATTTTTTTTTTTTTTTTGAAATGATAGGGAGATATTCAACAATATTTGTAAAGGTGGAGGGTTTTTGCGCCAATTATTTGTTTATAAAAGTTAAATTACTTTTTATTTTCGTGAAACTAATTAGTATTATTTACTTTTTCAGTATTTGTCAAACATATATTAAAGTGGATTATACACTTTCTTTGTGTTTGTGTTTTAGTTCTTAAAATTATAAGTTAATATAAATGAATTGTGAATAAGTGGGTAAAGCTTATAGTTTATGAAATATAATAAAAATTAATGTTTGACTTTGAAAAGTAACTTCTTGACAACTAAAAGAGAAAATGATTAATTTCACAAATGGTCACTAAAGTTACTTGAAATTCACAAAACGGTCACTAAAATTTAAAACTTGCAGAAACCGGCACTGAAGTTTAATTTTCATTGACAAAAGGTCACTAAATTTTCAAAATTTTTGGGAAAGTTTTGAGGAGATTTTTCGGCAACTTTCGACCATCAAGACCGCCATATTTGGATATCGTTGGAAATTCCACAATGTCCTCTTCAATTACCACGAAAAATCTCCCCATAACTCCAAGGGATTCGGCCGGCATATACCCACGAAGTCGGCTATCGAAAAATCTGAAAATCTACCCACGAAGTAGCATTGTTCGAGATGGAGGTAGCTTGGTGGTAGTACAGATTTGGTGACGATGGGTCACGATGGTGGTACAAATACAGTAGTGACTAAAGGTGGGGTGGTGATGGTAAAAGTGGTGGTGCTTTTAGTTGATAGTGATGACAACATTGGTAAGATGTTGGTGGCGATGCAAATCAGTAAAGATGGTAGGTGGGTCCGAAAAGTCTTCAATCCCAGGCAGGAACAAAATCAGGAATATAGTCCAGTGCAGACGGAATTCTATTAAGGTGGAGTTTCCATCCAATTGTATCCACCTTCAACCACATAACCCACCAATTCATAGCATATATATTTCATCCATCACAAGCCAATACAAAATATAAAATAAACCAATAGCCCCAACCACCAAAATTTCAGGCTCGATTAGCAAAAAAAAAATGGGAAAATTAGAACAATTACTGTCCAAAATTAAAGGATTTGAATAATAATGTATTAACTGATTAAAACCTTTAACCACGTAATTATTACGTTCAAACCCCAAATCAAACCCCCTGATTCCCGATTCCAGAAAACTCCTAAACGATTACAGGGAAGAGATCCTCAACCGGGCGACGACTCCACCTGATCTGATCCTTACCCACAACTTAGGTTGGTTAGCTGCTTTACAATTGGAACAAGGAATGGGTTTAAAATCTTCAATTGTAATACTGGAAGTCTCCTTTTTGGACGAGGTATGTTTATGTATGCATTTGATTGTCAATTGAAATTCTATTTTTTTATGGCTTAATTTTGTTTTTTTAAAATCACCTTTAGAAATTGGATATATCACGGTTGAGGAAATTGAGATCGGTTTTGGCATCCCTGGGATTGAAGCAAGGAAGAACCCTAGAAGATTGCAAAATGATGATAAAGAAAGTGGATGTTGATGGCGATGGAAGGGTGAATTACAGAGAATTCAGACAGATGATGAAAAGTAGGGGATTTGCAGTTATCAAGCTATTGAAGCACATTCGAATTGCACGTGGATTTCATTTACAAACTGATACGACAACAATAATCCAATTTTTAATCTGATACTGCATGAAAGATGTGTGGCTTACTAATGTAAGTATAAAGATACGTGTTATCAGATTAAGCAAAAAAATAATAAATAAAATAAAATAGAAAAGTGGATGTAATATATGATAATTGTTTGTTGAAGTAAATAAATCTTGCACTTATTATCTTGGCATTGAACTTTTTGGTCTTGCAGAATATAGAACTAAAAGTTACATAAGCCATCTAGCGTGCATTTTGAGTTCATTCAGTATGTTCTCCTCTCCTAACAGACGTGTAAAACTTAAGATTGTTACTTTTGTTACTATTAAATGCTTCCATTGCTTATCTCTGAAAATCATGGAGCTATCTTCTAACGTTGCCTTCTTAGGTGCATCTTCTAACGTTGTTGTGTTAGTATATGAGCATTGAGCAGCACTTTGGTCACCTTGAACACGAGTAGTATTCTGTGCAAATTTTTTATATATTATGCTTATTTATAAGGTTAGTTTCTTGGTACTTTTATTCAAGAACAAGATATAAATGACAACCCAGAAGAGTAATTGCTTCTTGTAATCCCCAAGTTACAACAACTATGAATTGCTCTGGATATGGATTATGATTTTTGAGTAATTTTACTAATAATTTTATAACTTGTGTAGAGTTCAGAACTCAAGTCACAGAGCCTAATTGCATCAGACGTGTTCGTGTGCGAGAAATGGAGAGAGATGGACCTGGATGAGGTTGGTCTACTTGGTTCTGCATTTCGTGTGAAAAACAGCAAAAAGTTGAAGCTCTGAAGCTTGAAAGAACAAGTTACAGACTTGATTAAGAATGTTTCTGATGGATTTATGCACAACAGCACCTGTATATATAATGTTTCTGATTATGCTCATTAAAACTTCCATTTGTTTGTGAACTTAGTTGGATGTTGTGCTAAGGTTGAGAGTGTTTTGCTTAATTTCACTTGTTAGGCATAGGCTCACTTGGGCTTAACTTCTAGTCATATATCTCTGTGATTATCATTGTGCTCGTAATATGCACACACGAACCTGGGTGTACGCAATATAGCCCAAATATTCACACATCTTTTCTAATTCTCATTGGCAATATTTTCTAAAATATTGGCTTCACTCGTTTCAGGATGAACTATGAATATAAATAAAAATGATATAATTTAAGGTTTTGATTGATGTGTTACTTTTTGAGGTTTTGTCACTTTTTTGAATTCATGTCACTTTCATAAGAGTTTGTCACTTTTTTAATAATGTGTCACTTTTACAGTGATGAGTGTTTATACAATTTTTTTACGATTACATCTTAGTATAGTCATCAATTTCATTAGTTGTGAGCTTATTGGAAACTTGGTTGTAATTAAATTTTTGGATTATGATTATCTTGTTCAAGTTGTTAGTTCAAAAGTTTTTAATTTGTTCATTAGTTGTGAACTTATTGAATAATTTGGCTATATTAAAAATTGTGGGTTATGATTTGTCACTTTTTTTTTAATTTTCTGTCACTTTTTTTTTAATATGTCACTTTTTAAAAAAAAAAAAATTTGTCACTTTTTTAATTTGTGTAACTTTTTTTAATGGATTATGATTGTTTGTAAGATTTTTCAAACTTATTTTTCATATAGTTGCGTACGGATCGTTTTCAAGCTTGAACATGATTCATTTTTATTTATATATATATATAAAAAAAGATGGAAAGGGGATTCATTTTAGGGCCATTTTCAAATGGCTATGGAACGCGGCAATAGATCTAACATGAGCACTCTGTTAGTTTTTGTTAGTTACTTGGAGTTGTAGCTTAAAAACTTTACTCAGCGAATGTAAATGTGTTACTTTTATTACTTTTTTTAATTTATGGCATTTCCAATTTATATGTGTGTTCTTAAAATGAAGTTATGTTCTACATTTAGTTAATATAAGTGAAACATAATTACAAAGAGAAAACATATAAAAGCAAGTTAATCATCCTTGGATCTATTTTTTGGTTTTTGATTAGTGTTTCTCACTTTTTTGAGTGTTCATGACTTTTTTGAATGTTTGTGACTTTTTTGAATTTAAAAGTGACATTGTCACTTTTTTGTGTGTTTGTAACTTTTTTCCTGTCACTTTTCTGAATTTTTTTTCAATTTTTATTGTTTGTTACTTTTTGAAAATTTTTCACTTTTTTTTATAATAAACATATGTTTTGTTTGGTGTTTTGTTACATTTTTAAGTATTTGTCACTTTTTTGAGTTTGTATCACTTTTTGAGTGTGTGTGTCACTTTTTTAAAAAAAGTGAAAATTTTTATAAAAAAAGTGACATTGTATCACTTTTTTATTTTACACAGTATTTTTTACTTTCTAAAAACATTTCACATGATTTTTCAAAACACTCCTAACATTTCAAAACATTTCACATTTCACACCAATACTGCCCATAACCCATATAAACCACATCATATATATACAATTATTATCCCAACATCAATATCCACAAGCCCAATACCAATTACATATACCCCAATAGCCCAAGATACAAAACTATCATAAATCCTCTTCGTCTTTTCTAGCACTGCGACTGCTTCTTCCCGTCGCCGCCACAAATCACTACCTTCAATGCTGCATGTTCCGTCTCCATCCCACATCTACACACAAACCAATTAATCTCTATCTACCCGTTTTCTACTACCAAAATAGATCACTACAAAAAAAAGATTGGGCGTCGGCCCAAAGTTCATTGCAGGCATCTAGGAATGGCTCCGCCCCTGATCCCAAGCATAGCATCACGAGTCCCGTGCCCTCTTTCAAACAATGTTTGAGCATAGAATTAATGCGACACGAAGCTTCACATTTTTACTTTCTCTACTTGTGATCCCAAAAATGCCAATTATTATTATTATGATCAAGGCTCGTAACATACAAGATGTATGAAGACCAGATCTACGACGACTAGATTAAGAATACACCTTCATGGGTTTCATTGATTTACTTATTATGTTTCATTGTACTTTCCATCTTCAGGTGTAATTATTTATTTTTGATTTGTTGGAGGTTTGGTCTATATCCCTCTAACTATGGCTCTCCTTTTTCCTTATTATTAATAAAATTTACACGTAATATGGTTTGAATTGAAAAAATGAACTAGTCACTAGCCTCTTACCACTAATCTTTAGACAAAATGACGTGTTTGAAATATTCTCAAAATGTAAAAGTGATGAAATTACATTGAAAATTTTCAACTCAAATTTGCAAAATCAGTCATATCTAAACTCAAGTTATCAAAATCGAATCTTGAATTAGGAAAAATATATATCAAATGAGCTTAATTGACACTCAAATCATCCAAATAGAAATTCAAATTCTGCATATTTCAATGATATAATTTACAAAAATTATAAAAAATAAAACCATAATTAAATTTGAAAAATAAAAAAATAAATCCCAAACTACTTCTGGCTTTCTTCGATTTACATTCTGAATATTCAACTAATGTTTTTACGTTTTTTTCAATTTACACCCCTGTGCTCATGGAAAAAAGACGGGAAATCTTGCATTAACAGATTAAATTGAATTTTTTTTTTTTTTATCTAAAAACTAAAATTAGTCGTGGAATTGATTTTTTACTTGAAACACGATGAAATCTTCAGCTAGAATTGATTCTCTCTGTTCACGAAAATATGTTGAATTAAAATCACCGCAAATCTATGGTTCGTTAACTAGTAGTAAAATAGATTTTGAGTCCAAGTATCATTCCCACGAAAATTGATTAATTCTAATTCTAATTAGCGTGACCTTAACCGAAACTATAAAAATGAGAATATTCGTTTTGATGAAATTATAACTAAATTAATTATCAATATGCAAGTATGAATGAATTAACTAACTAAATGCAAATTGACGATGAATGTAAATTGAAGTATTTTCTAATGTATGATGAATGTACTGTTAGGAATTTACTTAACATGTACATCGGAAAATTAATAATTTTTCAATTCCCACCACGGATTTGCTTTGTATTTAGATAGAAATTGTGTTGAGAATAATACTTTTGATGAATTCTGCAAACTCTTTTACTGATTTTCGAACTCCAATGATCACGATCTGTAATCCAAACTGTCCAATTGTCCAGCCTTCAATGGTGATCCATACAGAGAACAAGAATGAAGGCTAGGGTTTTACTTTTCTTGTGCTAGCAAGAATAATGAAAATTACGTATAGTTTACAAACCCTAGCAGCTTATTGATATATTCCCAAGTGGGTTGGCACATCTCTAAACTTTAACCGATCCGATATTTAATTAATCAAATTTAATTAAATACAGTCCATAAATTAATTAATCCATTAATAAATTCGGGCATATTAATAAGCAACTCAATTAATTAATTGTCTAACACTTGTCAATTAATTAATTGGTAAATTTCATTCTTTTGGTTCTCTTTTGTGTGTGACCATTAAATTCCCGATCACGATGTTTAACAACGTGAATTATTATTTTAATCTAATCAAAATTGATAAATTAAAACACCACTTTTAATTTATCACTAATTCACATCCGTCGTCCCAGATTGACATCTAGCAATGTGTCAGGGCAATACATGTGACGTGAAATGTCACATGGTATGACAAAATCAAACTTGATAGTTTTCCATGTGGAATCTCTCAGCGGGTCTCCAATATTTTGTTCTATAACAAAACATATACGTGTTCATTCAAGTGTCACCACACTTTAGCTTGTGAGATTGACTACTTANACTGTTAAGTCAATGTACGTCGAAAACTATTTTCCGAGTTATGAGTGCACCTTGGCCTAGGACTTCATTATTAATTTAACTGGATAAAATGTAGATCATAATCTCTTACTACCTAAGAGCGACGAATCCTCTATTGATCATTCACAACTTTCATATGATTCTTGACATACCCGAACGATACTGTATTGGCAACCCTTGGCAGAGTAACATCCAACACTATCAAAGTATGACTGTCCTCATCTAAGGTACTATGACAACCTCAAGTCAAATGACCAATTCCACTACCGAACGTTAGAGATTAACCACTAACACTCAAATAGTTATCCATGTGGAATCTCCCGAAGGGTCTCCAATGTTTTGTTTTATAACAAAACATCCGCGTATTCATTCAAGTGTCACCACACTTTAGCTTGTGAGATCAGCTACTTACTTCACAAGTAAAAATGCCACACGCGATGATGTATCCGTAATAATGATATTCGTGTCTCATTATTACTTCGACCACTGGCGATTTAAGATTCGATCATTTGTAATTTGTATCTCACAATCACAACTCCTTGTGATTAAAAAAATCACAAAAACTTGAATCTACGGATTCTATTATTTAATTTATTAGAATATTAATTCAATTAAATAATAGATATTGCCATATATATGCATTGATTATATATATTCAAAGTGTTTATGTCCAAAGTTGATTGGACCTAGGGCATAACACTTACAAACTCCCACTTGCACTAGATCCAATCACTTATGTATCTTATACCATAAGAGTCTACATGACGATCATGTTTATACTGCNGAGTTAAACCTATTCAAATATGCGGCCCAACTATATCTCTATGACGGATGCAAACATACAAGAATGCATGATTTTTTTATGAACACTTAAAGATTCACATAAGGCATAGCAATATATTTATATTCCCTATCGGACCCCATGATGATTTATATATGTCGAACATATTTCCTCTTCTTTCGAATGTATGAAATAAGCCACCAAACTCATACAATCATTCGTGCATATGATTGTGGAGAAAAATAAATTCATATAA